AATTCCAGTGACCATCTATTGTGCGTTGAGCTAGAACAAGTCCAAATCTCAGCCTAAAAAAAATACAAAACTACTAATTAATGGATAGTTATGTTTCGTTTGGTAGGAACGATGGAAAATAGGAGGGATACAGTTTCTATCTTTCAAGGATGAAAAGTAGAAAGAATACATTTTTCTTCTTTTGTGTTTAGTTGGATGAATGAAAAATTAAAATGACTATTTTTTTTTTGTGATAGTTAAAATTAGGGATGACAATCGAGTTGTGTATTATCAGATTCATGGTGAGTCATTATGAGTTTGTGTCGAATATTAGTCAAATCTAACTTAACTCATTTAACTAATTGTATCGTGTCGAATTACAAGTTGACCTTTTTATTTTCATATCGAATTCAAGTCGTGTCATCATGTTGAGTCGAAAATTTTCACTCTTAGTTAAGATGAAAAAAATATTTTTTTTAATTTAAAAATATATTTTTTTATTTTTTTTAATTTATTTTTAAAATATATATATATATACATATATATTTTACCATTATATTTTTATATGAAACTAATGTATACATAATATATGTATATATAAAAAGATATATAAACAAATTAGATACATCTCAACACAAATAATTAACTTTTCATCCATTTTTCTTCTGATTTTGGAGGGATTAATTTTGGTAAGTTAAAATGAAAGTTAATTCATCTACTTTTCCATCATTCCTACTTTTCCTTCTTTACCAAACATGATGTTTTATTTATCCCTCCAATTTTTCATCATTCCAATTTTTCATCCTCTTCCTTTTTTTTCATACCAAACGGAACATTAGTTTCTAAGCCCAAAGAGAGGTCTATAGATGGAGAGATTCTGGTAGACGGTCCATAAGAATAATTTGAGTCATAGTCGCACCTTAACCTCAACTAAGTTGTTCGAAGCAACTAAGCTCCGAGTGTTACTAAACCACATGGCGTGATTGTATTCCTAGACTATTGTTTTAAAGTTTTTGTCCCAATCTACTATTGATGATCGCGTGAACTCGAAGCGCTAGGTAATGGTGCTTAAGTTGAAGAGTTTAAAGATTGTAGCTAGGGGATGGTATAAGTTTAAAGATTAAAGATTGTAGCTAGGTGATGGTATAAGTAGGTGAGTGCAAGATAAAAGAAAGTACATTGTACACACATGTATTATAGTGATTTTTCGGTTAAAAAGTTTGTCTAATCTAATTTAATAGAATCTCTTGCTCCTTGAAAAAAATTTTATTACACCCAGAAGCAGGGTGGTCTCTCGTCATCGTCACATGGACCGTTAGTGGCTATATTTCGTATGTGATATGAGAAGACCTTCTAAAAGTAGGATGACATCACTCTTGTAGGTTGAGATCCTGAAACCGCACAAGGTGCTATGCTGGAGCCGGGTGGTTTGTGCATCCTTCCTTGCAGGAAGGGCTTACCGATGAAATCGTGTTGTTCAAGATCGAGCTGTAAAAACTAAAAATTTATTTGCTGATTATGGTATCATCAACTATATATATATATTTTTAATTCCTAGATTGTAAAGGATAGTTATAATATTCTATATATATCAGAAGATGATCAAAGCAAGAAAGATTCACGAATCTCATCTACGACCTACGTAGTATTGTAATCTCTGAAAAATATTAGAAGGGTTTTTTTTTTTTATCAGGTTGTATTTGGAGGGAAGCATCATCGCTTACGTCAAAGCATTAGTATAATAAAAACTGCAGATAGATCCATATATGAGTCTACTTCGATGAGTATGTGACGTGTTTAGCCAGTTTGTGATTATTATTATTAGTATATTCTTTTAGGATGTTCGGTTTGGTTCCTGATTCCTTACTAGGTAAAGTGCCTATATATTAATGGACGAACACTGCAACACGAAATGCACTAAGATTGGAAGCTGTGGATGCTCGCTCACAATTTCTTCAAATTAAAGGTCAATTCTCTCTCTCTCTCTCTCTCTCTCACATACACACACACTCACCCCTACAGAAATGGAGGTCACTATAGATCTTTACCATATTTCACGATTTCACTTCATCCTTACTGTACGCAAAGAACATCAAAGACTTCAAGTTATCAACCTCTCTCCCTCTCTCTCTCTCACATACACACACACAGAGAATGGGGGTCACCAATACCATTGGCATATTTCACTATCCAAATGCATCTTAGTGTGTGGAAATGTGGATATAGCATATTGTGCATGGAGGTAATAGTTCGTTTATATTTGTGCATGCATGTGTGCACCCCCTAAAAATCCCAGAAGATTTTTTTTTTCTTTTTTCTTTTTGGGTAAGTTAATCTTATAGAAAGTTAAAAACGAAGCATCTGGTGGTCTATGTTGTCTTAATTATCATCAGTATACAAATGTTTTTTTTTTTTTTGCAAATTAATTTTGGATTAAATGATTTTACATGGTACAAAGCTGGTTACAATTAGATCCTATTGAGCAAGACTCTTTAGTTATTTTTTTTGGGTCATAGATTATTATTTTTGGATCTTCTATCCACCCCTCTACGAGAAAATCGTGCACGTATTGGGTATGAGCCATGTTACATAGATTTAAAAACTAGACTTGATATTACATGGATTTATTGAGACCCACTACCTATTCAATTGTTGAGATTATCAAGTCTAATTTTTAAATCTATCTAACATTACTCATTGAGTATTAATCTTTATGTCAATCATCCTAAATAAAGATGAAACAGTGAGAACTTTTATCCATCCTTCCTTGTGCCAAGAAGGAGCCGATGTAGTAGGAAGTTGTGGTAGTGCAACTTAAGCAATAATGGTGTTTTGACTAACTTTTTATATCAACTTATCTAAAATAATCACAATTCTTAGATAATTTGTGGGATCTAATAAGATTTTTGACCGAATCATCCACGTTGGTAACTTGATAAAGAAATTGATAAAAAGGTTACTCAACTCAATACAGTATTACTAGGATATACTTTGTGCAAACTTTCTTTCACTATGGTTACAGTATAGATGATGAATACTTAAAATGTTATTGTAGTTAAAACATATAAGCGAGTGATTATAATATTTGTTGTAGTTAAAGTGTAAATATGATTTAAATATTTATGATAAAAAAAATAAATCGTAAAATTAACTGTTGAGTGTAAATGATTTGAATTGAAATTGTATTTTATGTTACCACTGAGATGGTAGCCTAGTTAGCCTTAATAGAGGGTGAAAGTTTCACCCTTGTGAAGTGATCACGGATTTGAACCCATTTATGATAATATTTCTTATGAATCAAATGTTGTACGAGGGGCTAAATAATCAAATTGTCCTCGGTGGTGTGTGGTGACCGGTTCGATCATTTCAACCCCAGGTTAGTAACTATGGTTCAAACTAATTATTCTATTGCAGGTAAGACTCGTAAGATAACGTTTTAAAGAGGTGTTACGCCTGATCGTCCTCATCACCTTTTTTTTTTTAAGATGAAAAAAAAATTGTATTTTATGTTTTGTTATAATATATATATTCCCTACTTAAGAAGAATAATGGGAGACAGAAGTCCACTTCATTTTGTCTGATACCGCCACCAAAATCTCCACCCAATGGTCAAATGGAATCTGAAAAGAGGCTTGAGCCATACTATACTGTTCCATTTTGACATTCTTCATTTTGAAAAGCCCGCGAACGTTGGAACATGGGCCCCGCAAGAATTGAAAGGAATTGCTTTTATTATTGAATTTAATTTACATTTGATATCTTGTTTGGCCCACCATCACAATCCTATGATGTTTTGCCTCCATGATATACATAAACACATGGGACCCATTTAATTACCCACCGTTAACTTGATAATGATTTTCATATTAGTGCCATTTGCCGAGTAGCACCCATAAATATAAGTGTCTATCACTATTTAATATAATCATCATACCTTATCAAACCTCACAAAAAATATTCAATGCAACGGGTATATCATTTGAATAATATCACGTGGTATAATCGTCAAATAATAAATAGACAAATGAGCAAGTGAGTCCCACAAAATTAATTAATGNTATTTAATATAATCATCATACCTTATCAAACCTCACAAAAAATATTCAATGCAACGGATATATCATTTGAATAATATCACGTGGTATAATCGTCAACTAATAAATAAATAAATGAGCAAGTGAGTCCCACAAAATTAATTAATAGATTGATTCATGTTATGTAACCACCTTCATGTAAGGTAATGGGATCCACTTTACTCATTTGTTGGCTTTTTTATTGAATAATTGCATCACATAACATTATTGATATGATGTAAAAATTACATTAAATATCTAATCACAACTCAACTCATAAATAAAATAAATTTTACACCTAATAGTTATTAGATTAACTAAAGACTAATGTTACACAATTCAAATAAAACTCAAAAATTTATAATTTAAATGCATAACATTCTTTAGATGATTGAATTCCATCAATTTTTTTAATGAGACCCACTCATATAAAGGATTAGAGGGTTAATCGAGACGAGCTACTCAGATTCGGGCTCAACTCTAATTCTAAAAGAATTGAGCTTGAACGATTTTGTAGGCTCGTTTAGAAAAATAAGCTTTCTAAGCTCGGACTCCAACTTGTAAAGTTAGACTCGATTAATACAGTTACAAAGAATGATATGTAATATTTAAATTGTGTAACATTTTTGTTTCCTACTGTGAAAGTTTTTAGTTCATTAATTATACTTTCTCTAAATAAATGAGTTTATCATATTAAACTTAAAATAAGGTAAATATCATATTAATCTTTAAATTTTAATTTTTTTAATGAATTATTAAATTTATATTAATTATTATTAAAATATTTAAAATTGCGGCTACCGACTACTACCCTCGAAAGTTCAGACGCTGGCCACGTGGAATCATTGCGTCTATTTATGTTCAAATAATAAGCAACGAGAACGAGGATTCACACGAAAGAAAGCTTTATTTGTTGTTGCAGAGGGACGGAGGGAGAGAAAAAAATTCATGGCGGTGAAGTTTTTGTCATTGGCGTGTATACGAAACGAGAGTAGGCATGGAGACTTGTCGCCGAGGCCACACTACCCATCAATGCCCAAGTACCCAAAAGGCTTGTCGTCGGATCAAGAGAAGAATATGGAAGGATCGGAGGCCATAGCTTTGTTTTCCGTCATCGGAATGACGTGCTCCGCGTGCGCTGGGTCGGTGGAGAAGGCGGTGAAGCGGCTCCCCGGAATCATAGAGGCGGCTGTTGATGTTCTCAATAATCGAGCTCAAGTCACGTTCTACTCCACCTTCGTTAACGTAAGTTCAAAGTTTAAATTGGATAGATCGTATTTGTTTCGTCTTGTAGTGTTCGTTTTGTCCATTTAATATTGTTATTTTCTGGGTTGAATTTCTATTTACTTAGATCGTAAAAGTGCGAAACACATAAGAAATTATGGAATTGCTTATCATATTTTATCAAATTCAAAGTTTCATATAGTTTCAAACTAGACAAAACATTTTAGTCTGTATTGAATTTTGGTGAATCTATTTGTTCATGTTAAATCACTTGAGTCACTAGTCTAGATTGATATCAGAATCGCACCGAGTTCAAATCCTCTGATGCAACGGCACTGTTCTTCAAAATGACGTGATTTTATGTGTAAAACGACATCGTCTTGAGGAATTGGTGTACAACCGCGGATCTGTTTCCCCACCAACGAGCTGAAATTTAAAGCTATCATTTTCCTTTTTAACATTCTGTGGTTAATAGTCAGTTGCCTTTCGTTTCAAATGTCCTTTACCTTTTTCTTTCTAAATTGTGCTATTCTGTTGGGATTGCTTACATGGTGTCAAGATTATATGAATATATTCCTTTTTGGCTTCTTTTTATCCAAGACTATTAAAGGATATGAAGCAGAGTTTGCGATATGTTAGATGGGTAAAAGTATTGTACCAAGAAATTATTTTTTGGTACAAAATAAGTACGACTAGATCTGGTGAGATAATGATAAAGTGATGTTGTTTGGAATCGATCATAGTATTTCAAGGTCAATCTTAATTTTTTTAAGTCACAATTTAATCTTTGAGTTGTATATGACATTTTTTTAGTCGTAACTTAACATGAGTCGTAACTGCCCCTGTTTAGAAGCATATGAATGCTGGACTCGACCCTGAGCAGTAATCAACCTAATCTTAAACTCATGTTTAGGTCTCACTGCTGGCCTTGCTTAGCCCGCTTTAATTTTGGGCTTCACATGCAAAATTCTTGTAAAAAGAATCTAATTTGATACCCCTACATTGTGAACTTGGTTTTACTGGATTGTCCATCATCATAAAGAGAAAGCACACACAAGTATTTCCGTAGATCCTTTTGCATGAATTACCATGCATTTGGTGCTTTTTTTTATTCTTTTTTTTTTTTTTTTTTTTTT